ATACATACATACATACATACATACATACATACATACATACATACATAGCGTGTGTCATGTAGGTTCTATATTTGAAAGAAAATATGTAATAATTAGATTTCTGAATCTGGATTATTTTCCTCAATATAATGATCTCCAGTTCTGTTGATTTTCCTGAAAATATCATAATCTCATCTTAATTACAGTTGGAAAAAATGCTGTTTCGTGTGTATATTTTATTTGTCTTCTGTTGATGGACATCTCGTCTGAGTGCCTAAGTTAGTTGTTGTAAACAGTGCCTCAGTAAATGTGGCTGAATATGTATTTCTGTAGTACAGAGTTGGGATTTTGATTTATGCTGCAGAAAAGAATTTCAGGACAAGTCAGTCAGAAGCAAGTTAGAGTTTACTGGGAAAGGAAAGTACACTCAAAGAGAGGTTGAACCCAGCGTGGAAATTCAAGTGATGCCTTAGCAGTAGCTATACACATCTGATTTTGTGGCTTTTGAAGTTACATTGTTTAAGGCATGCCGTCTATATCTGGGTTTGAAGAGTGAATAAAATGTTTTGGTATTCATATTTTATCTAAAATATCTTTCTTTTATGAGTGAGAGTATAAAGTGGTGTGTAAGATTCATTGTGTAGGTTTCTAGATAAGGAAGGAATGTTGACAATAAAAAAACATAAGTCTTAAGGGTCAAAGGAATTCTTCCTATGTGTGGGGGACAAAAAACTATATTTTAACTGTAAGCACGATTCATTAATTGTCTTAAGAATCTTGTTTGTGGGATTTTCTCAGAAAGGGAAGCGCAGTCCTTTGCAGCTAGTCTTATAAGTGGTTTAGCTGTGTTGACATTTTTTACTCTTAACCTATGGAAGGCTTAAACCACATCCAGTGAGGTCATCTTTCTTTCTCTTGTCCTCTTGACCTTTCCACGTCTTTCTGTTAAAATCTGCCTCAAGATTTTGGTCCTTATTTCACATATTCACTCACACAACAGAGATCTCTTAAGATGTCTTAAGAAATCCTTGGATGCATCTTCCAATGGAAACGTCAGCTTAGTGAGCCCACACCAATACATTTGGGTTGATCTGGCTTTACATTCCTTCCACTGTTATTCCAC